TACAATGTTATATTTTTTCAAGTGACAAAATACCTTGATAGTAAGGTCATATGACTTCTGATCAGCAGAATTAGTATTTGATCAACATAAAAATAATGAAACCAAAAAAAGTTTATTTCAATAAACAGTGTAAGCAATACATTGTCATTGTTTATTACTGTATATTCTATATTATCCTCCTTAACCCACAGAATGATAAATCTCTTAGAGCACTATCTCAATATACAGAATTACAGAAAGCGCACATCACACTCCTCAATTTATATACACTGACAGACAAGTATCTATCATATTAAATTATATACATGTATATATATATATATATCCCTTTCCTATACTATGTTAACAAATGGTAGTATTACAAGTAGTGTAAACAGCCAGCACTGTTAACATTACATTAGCATTGTAGCAATGCTATTACAAGCTGAAATTGTTGAAAGCTAAAATTATTATTGTTATTATTATTAATGGTAAATGGATATAAACTTGTCCATAAACTTGGCAACTAGTGAAATGTGTTCCAAAGAATGTTCACAATGCAACTATCAGTCTAACATTTAACCCCATCTGGACTCTTGCTGAATGCAATCAGATTAACAGATTAATGTGCCATTTCTTGCCAACATATTCATATAATCAGCTTTTCTTTATTCTACTTAATGACAGAAAGATGCATGTTAATCTGATTGCTCTCAGCGTGAGTCCATGCAAAGCTGAATAGATCTACGTAGAGCAGTGGTTTCACTGAAAATGTACCCTAAGTTGATTCCTCTCTTCAGGACCAGTCATCACAACTGTTCACTGCTGATGTTTTGTTGATGACTTCAAGAGAAGGCTATCAGTAAGATTTTCTACATCATGATTGCATTTTCTACATCTTGATTGCATTTTCACTCATGTCTCATATATCCCATATGTGTAGAAAATTATGTGCAATGTTAGCTTAAGTAGTTTTTTTACACATATACACATAACTCTAGAACATATTTATGATCTATAAACCCTTTTATTTACATATGCCTGTGCTGCATCCATCTGCTAAAAGATTATTTTTATGGTCTCTGTAAGTTATTTTTTGCTGTCTTCCATTCACTGCTGCAGGTCTTTTGCTGTGAACCAAGAACTTTCTTCATGTGATGAAAGGACAAGTATTTTGTCAATGAAACAGGTAAAAGTTGTTATGTTGTTGTGGAACATTAACATAATAAATGTTTATTATTAGCTTTTTTTTACAATTCACAGTAAACGTCAAATTTCTAAAAATCAACTATGAGTAATATTTTTCATTGAAATGATCATTCTATACAATATAGCTTGTTTTAAAAATCTCAATCACTAAAATTTCAAATGAAGTCAATTTCTCCTTACAGGGTTCAGCCCTCCGTTATTTTGTTCATCAACACGTGAGATACATATGGAACCAAAGCAATGGCAAATTTGAGACACTATGGTACATAGAATCCTTGTGTAAGAAATAAACATTTTAGTTATGTGAGGTGTACTCACTTGTAGGTGTTTTTTTATATAGCAAATACTGTCAGTCCTTAAATTCAGTTGGCGAATATATATATATATATATATATATATATATATATATATATATATATATATATATATATATATATAGCTGCAAAGCTAATGTTTTCTTTCATTTTACATGATGCATTTCTCTACATTTGATGAAATACAGGTAGATGATAGTTAATGTATGAAATAACATTCTTTATTCATCCTTTGCAGTGGATTGGATGTGGGCACAAAATGTTCATCTTTTCATGAAGATTTTAAAGGTCTGGGTGTGACAGAGCAATGGAAGAAGTAAGCCTTGATTTCAGTACTACCAGCATAGTGATATAGATGCCTTATTCACCACATCACTGTCATAGCACCCTGAGTTTCAGAGTTGTGCTGTTCACAAGTATGTTGTGTTACTGCATGCCATTGTTGAGGTTTGCAACAATTTAGTTTTATAATGTATCCTCAGGGTCTTTAGTATTGGGGGTTTGTCTTTGACACAGTTTATCCAAAGGTGATTAAAACTAAAGATATTTTTACATAACCTTGTGATGAAACCACAACAACAACAACAAGAGGATAGTTTCGTCCTCAGGGATTCTATTTTTATTTGTCTTTTTACTTTTAGATTGGATTTATATGGCCCAAATGAGATAGATGTGGAAGTGAAGTCATACATTGTTTTGCTCTTTGAAGAGGTAAGAACATGTAATCATACTGAAATACTGACACATATCTACTTGTCAGTAGTGTTCAGACCTAACAGGATATGATGAGAAATTAAATCAAAACACTGCTGTGAAATAAATGGTTCATTTTATTTTGCACTTCAGATAATCATGAATGTTGTGCCTGTCCCCCACCTGTTTATAATTTCAATATGATGTTCCTTTTAATTCAAATGACAATTTATTCAAATAACTGATAAAATCTGAGTTATAGTTTTGGTTGTCTTTGTGTGGATAATTTCAAGTGCTGAATCAGTTTTATATCTTTCACCTGTTAAGTGGGATACTGTGGGTATGGATGATTTTTTTCTGTCCATTTGACAACTTTGTTGCATTGTTTGAATGTTATACAATTTGACCATAGATGTGTTCATTTATAGACACCGTTTCCAATGTTTTTCTAGGTGCTGAATCCCTTCTACATCTTTCAGCTGTTCAGTGTAATACTATGGATGTGTGATGATTACTATTTCTACTCTGGATGTATTATCCTCATCTCTGTGGTATCCATTGTGATGTCACTTTATGAAACAAAAAAGGTATGGTACGATTCACAACACATGTAAACATACTTAAAACTTTGACTTATCATAGTAATGTAATACAGTAATGTGCTCTGCTGGATGACACATTCAACTTGTTGTTTTTCTTTGATAGGTCTTAATTTCCTTATACCTGTGCATCTGTCATGGCACCTGAAATGTTGGTGACATTATATGGGACAATTTGTATTCAATCAATCACTTCATATTGAATTGTACTTTTGAATTTATTCATGACAAATAACTATCATTCCAGAGTTTTCATGGGAGGTTCACTGTATCAACAAACATTTAGGGGGGAAGAAGAGCAGAATAATTTTGACATATGTACATAAATGTCAGCATGTGTGAATAATGCAGTGTATTTCATGTAGTTACCTCCATTCTGGTGAAAAATCTATGGACATAGTCACTTTACAGCTTTTTGTTACAACCTTATGTATGCCATAGCTAATTTAGAAAGGGGTGGCCCGTGACCAATAAATTTATACCACAAAAATCATGATTGATGCCTGTTGTCAGGAGCACATTGACCTCTGCATTCACCTTGTTTATTAATAAAAATGGTCTATATAATTTTACATGTATAAAATATTACAGCAAAGGAGAATCCTGCGAGATATGGTTGCTTCACACAAGAGCATGGTTCATGTTAGCAGAGGCAATGGAGGTAAGCATGTACACAAATGTATCAGACATTCAAACTCACTGAGATCTAGGACCTAAAATTTGATAGGTCTTAGCTCATTCATAAAAAGAATATCTAACTGAGGGGTAGTACATAAATTTTACTCCCTTATATCTTAAGCTAAGAAAACAATGTCTTTCCCACCACAACAGTGACCGTTTGAACTCCTCAGTATTACCCTGCAACACCTAGCCACATATACCACACCCCAACTCCTCAGTACTACCCTGCAACACCTAGCCTAGCCACATATACCACACCCCAACTCCTCAGTACTACCCTACAACACCTAGCCACATATACCACACCCCAACTCCTCAGTACTACCCTGCAACACCTAGCCACATATACCACACCCCAACCCCTCAGTACTACCCTGCAACACCTAGCCACATATACCACACCCCAAC